TAAAAATCTGCAATAACTATTTCTTCAGACCCTATCTCTTTGGAGACCAACAATCCTGGTTGTAGTAAAGCAGGGGACTATTCAAAGTGCATGAAAAAGTCATGTTTGCAGTAGTACTCAAACGAGAGAACTGAACAAGGCTATAAAGTTCAAACATTGAGTAGATACTGTGAAATAGGTGAAACTACCTGTTACTGGCTGTGTCCAAGAGATACATTGAACCCAGGGAGACAGACGGTTGCTTTATTTTATTGGTCCAGCAAGTAATAATATAGGGAGAAGCAGGTAAAAACTCTTCAAGGTTTGACAGTATCTGCTCAACCACAGTCTTGACTGTCATCATGCATGACTGAGAACCTAAAGGTCTGTGAACACTGGATTTAATCCTGTGTGGAGAGACAGTTCATCTTGCCTTCCTTCTCTACTGTAACTATTAAATCATGGGTATGTACTTGAAAGCAGATAAATGAGAAAGTAGTGGGAAATGTGCAAGTACCTGTTTCATTTAATAATATCTTACAGATTTCAAAAAAAGCTGCTGATTAAACATTTATCCATGTTTTATTCACTCTTCCCTTCAAAGTGTATAAAGCGTCACTGTAGAGCACTATTGGCTTTTGTACAAGAATTCAACAAATAACAGCCAAAGGGCTCTTTGTTCAAAGAAAGCACGTATTCGCCACAGTCGCAATGTTTAAAGTCTGAATAGGCACATTGTGTGTCAAACCTGCTTCTTGTCAGAATGGCTTGTTTTCTGGCTAGCAGCAATAGTCCTTTTTGAGTATTAACACTAAATCTACTTGTAGGCATGTTCTTTCTTCAGCTCCAATGCAGTACCACTGAAAATTGCACTGATAAATGCAGACCCTCTGGGAGAAGAAATTAATGTGATGTTTAAGGTAAGCTTTACATATGTATTGGAGAAAAAAAGTTGAATGGTAATCACTATTTCTTGGGTATTAATTAACTTTAGCATAGACCAATAAGCTTAGTTATTTTGTGAGTTTGTTCTAGTGTATCTAGAAACCAACATCTGAACAAGTTGTAAAATGTGAAAGTAAGTCTGCTGCATGTGAAAGGTTACATGTAGCATATTTCTCTTTTTAAGTGTGTAGCCATGAGGAAGTAAGTAGTGTACTGTATCACTTCCTAGAAATGGAAAGCAATTAAATCTGTGAAGTTTAGTTTTGCTGAAACCATATTATGTCTCTAGTTAACCTTTTATTTTTCCATTTAAGGTTGGAGAAGATTTGAGACAAGATATGTTGGCTTTACAAATGATTAAGATTATGGATAAGATCTGGCTGCAGGAAGGACTGGATTTACGGATGGTTATCTTCAAGTGTCTCTCAACTGGAAAAGACCGAGGTGCAAAACCAGATGCTGCCTATAATCTTTGCTCCTTCGCTTCAATTTCTTGTCACGTTGATAGTAAAAAAATTTCTGTGCAGTGGAAGGCCAGAAGCCTTCCATGCAAGGAACTTCAGTACTCAAGAGTATAGCAAGTTAAATTGTTCTGAATTTCCCGATGGCTGAGTTGCATTTAAGTGTTTCTTCTCTTGTGTCCTGAGATTCCTACCTGTTCTGTTGTCAATGAACAGTGGTGCAAACAAGGAAATATAAGGATAAAAGATAAGGTTTTTCTTGATGCCCTTACTGCAAAACAAAAAAATAATGGTACCACAACAATCCCGATTCTGAAAGTTTAGTTATAGTGAAAGAAAAACTGAAATTCTGAAGTATTTGGAATCTGCTGCAGTTGAGTTGGAATATCATTTATGTATTGAAACATGCAAAAACAGAGAAAAATTTAAAACACCTCCCCCTTTGCCCCCACCTCCCAGTATCCCAGAATTGGTGTTATATGCTGGTAAAAGTTCCTTGGGAATATGGGGCTGTCTTTTATGTTTGAAACTGGGTCACAGAAATCTAAGTTTGAGTGTAAATACCACCCTGCACCTTAAACATGCTTTTTGCTAGTTTTCACTAATTCTCTAGAGCTAGCCAATAGGAACCACAGATCTTTAAGAGGATAAACTATAACTTAAATATTTCAGTCAGATGCTAGAACAGCATGATGAAAACTCTTAAATACAAGGAAACATTGGAAATTTAGCTTGGCAAAACAAAGCAAAAAGCTTCTATTTATGAAATACTTGCTTTTTAGAGAAACAGATGGCTCTTCCTTCTTTGAACGATGACTTGATTACATAGCATGCTACTTTTTTTTTTTTGTTGCTGCTAATATTAGTATTCCTAAAGCACTTGAAGGATTAAAGTGAAAAAGAAAAGTGGATGTAAATTACAGATTTGCTTTTAGTAGCTCTTGCCAAGATAGAAGTAAAATTCTATTAACAAAATAAATGCTTTTCTTTTATAATTTAGCTGTACAAATTGTTTTAGTAAATGATATCTCCAAAGTAAGGCCACATGTAAAGCCCACTGCCTTATTTCTGGAGCCACAGTCTGGTCTGTTTCAACACTTGACAGCAGTTAAAATTACCAGATAACTTAAGTGTCGGTGTATGAGAAATGTCAGCATCAAAATATTTTGCAGTTATTGCTTATAGACCAATACTAGTTTATGTAGTAGAAAGTAATCATTCAAAGTATAATTTATGTGTGCATTCTAGCAACTGTAAGTAATTGTAGTAAAGTAAGCCTAACTGGGATTGCTGCATGTGTTTCAGGATATGCTTTGTAATACAGTCTGTGGAAATTCTTAGTAGACTAATAGCGCTATTTTTACACCTAACTGGGTTTTGAAAGAAGCTAGTCCAAGATTGTAAAATCCATCATTGTCAAAGTTTCTACTGAATAATGAAAATGCAGTATAACTTAAGGAGATGGTTACATAAACTGTGTTATATTTTGTATAAAGGCATGGTAGAGCTTGTTCCCGCTTCAGATACACTTAGGAAAATTCAAGTGGAATATGGAGTGACAGGTTCTTTTAAAGACAAGCCTCTAGCAGAATGGTTGCGAAAGTATAATCCTACAGAGGAAGAATATGAAAAGGTAACTTTTTCCAGTGTTGTTCTTTTTTGAATATATTTTAAAAGGAATAAATATAATCTCATGAAAGTATGAAATTCTTATTCCAGATATTCCATTAAAAGTTTTATGTCTTTAGGAAACTTAATTTTTTCTTATGCTCAAAAAAGAGCAAATGAAAATCCCTTCTATAACTAGAAAGGAGACAGTAGAATTCTCAGGATTCACATCAGGAGTTTATATTGGATATAGACAAAATGTACTTCAAATCCAAGATAGGAATGGTGGCTGCTCCTAACTGTGGTATAGGAGCAGTGGCCTCTTCTCATGCGAGCACATGGGATTCAAAAAATAAAATGTTTCTTTTGGCTACAATGCTGTTACAACACATTGAAAAAGTCAGTATTGTATGATTTTCTTCTCTGCTAAAATATTAATTTCTTTTTGTGACTTATCTTCAACTCCTCTTTTCTATTTATTTAAAAAAAAAAAATGCTAGAAAGTGTGGTATATACAATTTCTTGCAAAGCTGTATGTTTGAAGAACATTATTTTTGGAAACAAAGCAAATTTTAGGGCCTTTCTTCTCCAGCTTGGATTTTACCCTTGTCAAGATTGACTGTTGAATGCCTGAATGTTCTTTTCCCATTGATACTTGATCTGAATTTGCTTCTTTTCTCTCCTTCCCAGGCTTCAGAAAACTTCATTTACTCTTGTGCAGGATGCTGTGTAGCTACTTACGTATTGGGAATTTGTGACCGCCACAATGATAACATAATGCTCCGAAACACAGGGCATATGTTTCACATTGACTTTGGAAAATTTTTGGGTCATGCACAAATGTTTGGTAGCTTTAAAAGGTATTTTCTGAAGCTAAGCAATGTAGAGAATGAAGTGATTTTTAGTATATTTTTATAAGCTTTATAATTCTAAGCATTAACTTTTAAATTCCTGTTATCTGCTGTTTTCATTGGGAAGGCAATATCTTCCAGTTTAACCGCAGCATTTCCAGAATGCATTCAAACTTAACTGTATAGAATTAATTTTGAAAAGGCTTCAGCTTCCTTTTTCCATATTCTGATCTCTGGAACTGCTTAAGTCAAAGCACATAGGCACAACTTTCAAATGAAATTACTGTTCCTAGCTACTGGTAGATTGAAATAAGGAATCTGGTCTCCTAAGGATCATTTAACTTCAGTGCTTCTGAATTGCATTTGTTCCTTAAGAGCTTTGTGCTATACATACTTGGCAAATCTCAATGGGAATTTCTTTACAATAGCTATGGAAGCAAAGTGTTTTGGTACAGGAAAATATTAATGTAACTTTTTAGTAATATTTGGGAGCCTTACATCTAATACAGATCTCGGTGTCATACTTTTCTAGGAATATTGGATAGAATTGTATGACAGTTTCACCTTTTTTTAGCTATATTCATGCAATCATGTATTGTATGCTTGTTAAGTAAACTTTATCAATGAATAAGAAATTGAATGCCAGAACGTTTATGTCGTCTGAATATCTGAGTGTGAAGCAAATGAGAACAGACTGTGGCTCATAAAAGCAGTGGTGAATGTCAACATTATAGAAGAGTGAACAGCAAGTTTGTATTTACTAATGCTCTGTGTAGGAGAAGATATATATCCAGGATAGAGGAGTTATGTTTTAGTCAGGTGATAATGTAGTCATTACATTTGGTTTAGTGTGTTATGGCTTCCAGAAATGAGGGATGGAAGGCATTGTAAGGTAACCTGTCCTCCAAGTGTTGCTCCAGGAGATCTGCTGTAGGTCCAGTACTATTTGAATGTACTGGGAATCTGAGATAGGAGTGGGCAGCTGAACCCAACCCAAGAAATGGCATTAATGGATTATTTAATATCATTACCTCGAGGTGGGGATGGAGGGGAGGAGGAAGCACAAGACAAAGTGAATAGACCTTATAATTAACTTAGGAATTCTGTGCTTTTTGAACAGGGATCGAGCTCCTTTTGTGCTAACATCGGATATGGCTTATGTCATTAATGGTGGTGAAAAGCCCACTATTCGCTTTCAGTTGTTCGTGGATCTCTGTTGTCAAGCTTACAATTTGATAAGAAAACATGCAAACCTCTTCCTTAACCTACTTTCATTGGTAATAATTTTATTAAATTCAATTGAAACTTGATGGATCTCTCATGTTGGATCGTATTAAATGTCATGCTTTTTATGCTGCAGAAACTCTTAATGCATGCTTTAAAAGCCAGAAACATCAGAAGTACTTTTTAGGAAGGTTATATCTGGATTTTTCTTTTAAGCTTTTTTACTACCTGCCTGTTTCCTGATAATTAAAAACTATGAAGATACCATAAATTACACTGCAAAGTGTTTTAACTACTTTTAACTCGGCAGAAATGGTGAAGGGAGTAACTGCTGATTGTAAGTAATTGTTGACTATTGCTGTTAGCGTTGAGCAAGTTAGTGCAGCTTCAAATTGAATTTGATGGTTAAAGAGATTTAATCATTTCAATATAAAATTATATTGGGTTTATTGCATTAAAACTGTAAATTTCTGCAGATGCTTTCTTCTGGGTTACCAGAACTAAGTGGTGTTCAGGACTTGAAGTATGTCCAGGATGCTCTCCAGCCCCAAACAACAGATGCAGAAGCTACCATTTTCTTTACAAGGTACTAGATAAGTGAAGACTAAAATATCTACCAGCATCATCTTCTTAATGGGAGCTTTCTGCTCTGAAAAAATATACTAAGGGTGTTCACAAACATATCTGTAGAAGTTGAATACTTACACTGTACTATCATAAAATATCAGTTAACCAGCAAACTACCTAAATAAGATCAGTTTCATATCCGATTAATGCTTGTGCGAAAATACTTTGCCTTTAAGAGTAACCTTGTGCAAAAATATTGTTTGAAATACAGAGAGCAGATAATTCTGTTTGGCTGCTTGAGACTTGCATTTTGAATGCATGCTAAATTGCTTAATAGCAGTGTATGTGATGGGAACCTTGTAATGCATGTAAAGAAGTTCTTCCTTTCAGGAAGTGCTTTTGCACACTGGGGAGGGAGGGATGAGGTTCCAGTGTAACAAGTAGGCGAGTGTGGATAGAGTGTAACTGAATTGTTGCTCTTCTATTAAATGCTGATATGATGCTATTTATGTAGCCCATTGATCGCTTTTAGTTTAAAAGCTGTTTCTCTGTCAGTAAGAAATTGTTTTTTATTTTTCTTAAACTTAAGTCTGATTCATTGACAGAACTACTTCTGTGCGTTCTGACATGAGTTCTAGTATTTGATGGGTTTTTTCTCTTTTCTAGGTTGATTGAATCCAGTCTGGGAAGTGTTGCCACGAAGTTTAATTTCTTCATTCACAATTTGGCTCAGCTGCGTTTCTCAGGTCTACCTTCTAATGATGAACCCATCCTCTCATTTTCTGCTAAAACATATTCTCTTAAACAAGATGGCCGAATCAAACAAGTGTCTGTGTTTACATATCAGAAGAGATATAACCCAGATAAACACTATGTAAGTATGTGGAATCTGTTTCCACTCAGTGAAGATACTGTGCATTTTCTTTCAGCAAGATACATTCTCCTTCTATCCATAAGCTCAGTAATTAATCACAGAGAGTTAGTCCGGGGAAGCTTGCCTTGTTTAGCCTTAAGTAGCTAGCTTTGAGGTAGACAACTAGGTTCCCTTTATTGACAGAGATTTAGTAAAACCAGCTATAGATACTTACTTGTTCAGTTGGGCGCTAATGTCAGATTTAGGATGAGCTGTAGAGTTTTCTGAAGTCTGACTGCATTGATTATAATGACAGCTTAGAAACCCACACCAATGTTGACACCCAACACTAAGCTCCACTGTGGATGACTTTAAAGTAAAAACAAAACCCATAATTGCAATCTAGATGGGAATGCTCTTGCTTGCTTCCTGGAGAAGAACAGTTGTACAGGCTCTGGCTGGGAAGGAGTTACCTTTCTTCATAGCAGCCCACACAGTGCTTTGTTTTGGATGTTCAACTGAAACTGTGTGGATAACACACCATTGATTTGTCTGTTGCTGAACAGTGTTTGTGCAGTGTCAAGGCTTTCTATTTTTCTTCTGCTTTGCCCCTGTTCCCCCTGCAATGAGTAGGTTGTAGGTGAGCAAAGAGTTGGGAGGAGACACAGCAGGGATAGCTGACCCAAACTGTCCAAAGAGATACTCCATAGCATGTAATATGTACTCAGCAATAAAAACTGGGGGTAGGGGAAGAAAGCAGGGAGTGGGAGCATGTTGTCGTCCAAGGTGGCTGTTGCTAGGGACTGGCTGGGCATGGGTCTGCTTGTGGGAGATGGTGAGAGATTGTCTTTGTGTCACCTCCCCTCCCAAAGACTGCCTTTATCCCAACCCACAAGTCATCTCTCTCTTGCTCTTTTTCTCTCCCCTGTCCCATTGCTGAGGGGGTGGGAGTGAGCAAGCAGCTGTGTGGGTGCTTAGCTGCTGGCCAGGGTAATCCAACCACAGGAGTGCTATAGTACAGATTGGTATTTTTAGCATCCAATAAAATTCTTCAGAGTGAAGATACTTCTTGAAAAGGATCTAGAAGGAGGCAGAAAGGACAGAAACAGTGTTGGTGGAGATTATTTTTAAAAAATGGGGATTTGAGTCATGTTTATGTGCTTATGTAGCTGCCTTCTGTAAAATGGCTCTCACCTGAATACGAGTCATTAAGTCCAACACTTTCTGTCTTTGTTCTGACCTTTCATTAAAGTTGTAATTGCTCCCTCTAAGTAAAAGCATAGTTTCCTGTCTTAATGCACCTGCACTCCTAGTCAGTCTTACTGGAGGCAGCAAGCATTACAGTTGGCCCTCAGGATTTTGATAACCTGGATTACTCTTCAAGACTTGTATTAATATTCATATTCCAAGACAGCTGTGCAGCCATCTTCAATTTATTGGTTGTTTGTGGTTTTGAGTTTTTTTAACTTCTTTACTGCTGTTTGGCCTAGAATAGTCAGCTCAAATTAAGTTTTCCTCAAGTTGTTTAAAAAGTGAGCTATATTGATATATGCAAATGTACATCTCCTTCCAAGTTGTATTTACTGTAAATGTTTTAGTCTGGTAAGACACCAGCTAGGGAAGGTAGAACAAAGATGAATAATGCTAGAAGTGAAGAGCAGCTTTGTACTGAATCAATATTTGAACACTACTGGTCTAAGGCAAAACAGCCTTCCAGGAAACTGTTAACGTGATACAGTCTCCTTCTGTCTAGACTCTTCCCAGTTGCACTTTTTAAAATATATATATTTAACTCATCTGCCTATAAAATGAACTGAATTTTCTGTGCAGTTTCTCAACCTTTGTTTCTCTTTCATAATAACGTGACTAAGTGCATCCTGGGAATGTACCCCTAGTATTTTTTAAAAATCCTCTTACATAATGCAGTACACTTGTATCTGCCCACCAAATGATCACTTTAGAAGTGTAATCCTTTAGAATCTTGAGAGAACTAGACTGAAAAAAATTAGGCATTAGTTTCCTCCATATCCACAGCTGAAAAGTCTTGTGGCAGTTCTGGCCCTGCAGATATGTGTCTAGATGTAATCCTGCACTGATGTGATAGTTTTGTACACCTGCTATACAGTATGGGCTTACAGTGAGGCTTAAAAGAGAGAATGTGGACAGCTTAGCCTTTACTACCTTTATCCATCTGTCAGGCGTGGGTCTATGTATGGGAAGATCATGTGATGTTTCTTTGCATTACAGGAGGGCTATTTGTAATTCTAATTCTACTACAAAATGCAAACACTGATACTGGGATATGTATGCAGGAAGAGGGTTACCATAGTAAAAGAGTTAGTTGTTAAGAAAATTACATTAAGTCAGTTCTCTAATATTGTTATTACTTTTATCTTGGTTTTGGGGGGTTTTTTTGGCAGATCTATGTAGTGAGAGTTTTGAGAGATGGGCAAGTCGAGCCAACGTTTGTCTTCCGAACATTTGATGAGTTCCAGGAGCTCCACAACAAACTTGGCATTCTCTTTCCTCTCTGGAAGTTACCAGGGTATGTTCCTAACTTGCTCATCACTATTATAATGGAAACAAGAAAACTGCTTCCAGCGGGGTGGAAGAAGAAATAGCTTGAAATGGAGACAAAACTGCTGAGGGGCAAACTAGACCTCAAAGCTGGCAATTAAGGGATAAAGAAAACTGTTGTCACGAAGTTTTAAGGAGGAGAGCCAGAGAAGCAGATCTTTGTCTTTAGCCTGTGTATCACTGATAAGAATTACCTGTAAATATTTCCTTGCCTTTCTATAATGTCATTACCTATTAGCATGCTGTGTTTCCACTCCATACATTTCAGGAGGGAAATGACAATGAAATCTCTTAACTGTACTTGCTTCAGAGAAATTAACTGAAAACTGTCTTGTTTTTCCCACGTAGCTTTCCTAACAAGATGGTTCTGGGAAGAACACATATAAAAGATGTAGCAGCCAAAAGAAAAGTGGAGCTCAACAGCTACATACAGAGTCTGATGAACAGTTCTTCAGAGGTGGCAGAAGTGAGTTCAAATAACTTAAGCAAATCCAATGCAAGTTTTCAGATTTTCGTGCTTGTTAACAATTAAACTAATATGTAATATTTCTTCCAAATTTAGTGTGATCTTGTTTATACTTTTTTCCATCCATTACTTCGTGATGACAAAGTGGAAGGAATAGATGGAATAGCCAGACCTACAGGTAGGCAATGTTTTTGGGGAGTGTTTATAAATTGGGTGACTATAGTATGAGGCCTTTACAATATTTTGGTTTTTAAACCTTTTTTCATTAACTGTAGCTTTCTGTAGGAGTGGAACATCTCCCTTATGAGGAAAGGCTGAGGGAGCTGTGTCTCTTTATCTTGGAGAAGAGGAGACTGAGGGGTGACCTCATTAATGTTTATAAATATGTAAAGGGTGAATGTCAGGAGGATGGAGCCAGGCTCTTCTTAGTGATGCCCAACAGTAGGACAAAGGGCAACGGGTGCAAGATGGAGCACAGGAGGTTCCATGTACACATGAGGAAAAACTTTTTCACTACAAGAGTGATGGGATACTGGAACAGGCTGCCCAGAGAGGTTGTGGAGTCCCCTTCTCTGGAGAGATTCAAAACCCACCTGGACACGTTCCTGCGTGACCTACTGTAGGTGATCCTGCTCTGGCAGAGGCGTTGGACTGGATGATCTTTCAAGATCCCTTCCAATCCCCAACATTCTGTGATTCTGTGTGATTCTTTCCCTCATTTAAAACTTCACATCACTACCTTTCCAAATATGCCTGCATTCAGTTTCAAGGAAATAAAAACATACCAAAAATTGCAACAGTATTTGATCACTCGGGCTTGTTCATGGCTTGACTAAATTATTGAAGTTTTTACTGTGAATCTGCAAGTTGGTTCTTTCAAGAGACTGCAAAAATCTTTAAAACCTCTGGCCTTGCCCTCTTAGAGAACTAGAAATAAAATCAGAAACTGAACATGGTCTAAGGCTTGCATTTTCCCCCGTATATAATTAGTGTAGTACTCATGAAAATGTACAAATATTACAGAGAAAACAATTGTTTGGTTTTTTGTTTTTTTTCAGATGCAAGTCCATCAAGTCCTACCTCAGGCAAAGTGGGAGGAGAAGTGAAGCTATCCATATCATATAGAAATGGCACTCTATTTATCATGGTGATGCACATTAAAGACCTGGTAAGTACAGATACTGAGCTCACTGCTAAAAACCGTTTCCATTTTGTCAGTTACCTTCTTGACTTGATGTGCACTAACTAGTTTTCTAACTTGTCTTGTTTTTGGATTGTAGGTTACAGAAGATGGTGCTGATCCAAATCCCTATGTAAAAACATACTTACTTCCAGATATGCACAAAACATCCAAACGCAAAACCAAAATCTCCCGGAAGACAAGAAACCCAACTTTCAATGAAATGGCAAGTTTAAATTTATGTAGTAACTCCCTATGGTTTGCTGTTGTCTCTTATTCTAAGCAGTAATTAAAATACTGTTGAAAAGAATGTGCAAAGATATATAAATGGCAAAGGAACTTGTTTAGAAAACTTTTTTGCCCTGTTCTTTAAAAAAACAAACCAAACAAAAAAACCTTCAAAACTCACAAACCCAAAAAAAGCCAAAGCAACTGAGTAGATAAATGTACTATTACAAATAAGCAGAAATTTCTCAGACTGACTCTAAAGAGTGATGAGGGGAAGGGGAGGAATCTTAAAACTAAAAGATCCCCCTGCCCTGGATTCACTGATTTGTAATGTGGAGAAGAAAGAGTTCAGAAGTCTTGGCATGTAGACAGTACTTCCATCTAAAAACACTGCTCCTTTTAAACACTTAACAGCGGGAGCACAAAATAAAATACGGATGTGCTTCAGCCCGTACTCTAAGAAACAGGCATACTGAATGGTCATAATGCGCAGCTAGGACATCTGTCAGTGGCTGGGCAGTCAGAAGAAAGGGCAATCTTTGTAATTTCATTTGGATAACCAAAAATTATTGACTTCTTACCTTCCAGCTTGTGTACAGTGGATATAGTATGGAGACTCTGAAACAGAGAGAACTTCAGTTAAGTGTGCTCAGTGCAGAATCATTACGAGAGAATTTTTTCTTGGGTGGAATTACGCTCTCACTGAAGGACTTCAACTTGAGCAAGGAGACTGTTAACTGGTATCGATTAACTGCTGTACCCTACCTGTGAACTCATTTCTACACCTGAGTAAGACCAGAACAATTGTATTCACTTGTGCTTTTTCTGCATCTTCCTACTTGAAGATAACTTGTACATCTTAAAATAAGAGACTCTGCATTTCAACAGATATGTTGGACCAATGTTCACGTAGCCTAATTTGGAGGATTTCTAGAAAACTTGATTTATCCTTATGCAATGCTATCAAAGCATCGTTGTAAATGTTTGAACTGCAGGTAAAGGAAGGGGTTGTTAAACCATCCGTGAAAGTGAGATGAACAGTTTGACCATGCTAGTTGGTTGAACCTTAACTTAATCATTTGCCCTGTGAATATAATGCATTTTTACTTTTAACTTTTGTTACCTGTATTATGTCATCCAAAGAAGTGACATATTTTTAGGATTACATTCCCACTACTAACTAGACATCACAGAAGCAGCAACGGGTAAAATTTTGGTAGCTTCACACACACCTGCAGAAATGAAGGTTGAAGGGCTGGAAAAATTCCTTAGCATTGCATTTAATCCCAGATTCATGCTTCTCTCAAACTTACTGGAGTGAGTGCTAATAATGGAAGTTGTAAATAATGGTGCCTTATAATTCAAATGCTTCTCTTTTACCTCATTTCTGATATTTAAATATGTATACATGTTAACTTTCAGCCCCGTAAAAAGGGGAAACATTCTCATATCTGATAACTTGTAGGTCCTACTGGAAGTCTTTTCCTGAGATGTGTTATTTACAAATAACATCATCTTCATAGTGCAACTTTTCCCACTCCATCTTCTACCCATGATCTCCAAAAATTGAATGAAGGCTGGCTGAATGTGGTGACGTAGGAAATGTGCCCAGCTTATCAGCATTTTGAAATGTCTTAATCGCTAGAACTTTTAAATACTGAAGTGATTAAATATGGAACAGATTAAAACACTAAATCCAAAGTGGCATTTGCACTAAATTACTTATGTGTACCTCCAGGTAAAGGGTGGCCTCTAGTTAAAAAGCACAACTGCTGAGTGAATTGCAGGAATGAGCTGCATTAACAGAGCTTTGAGAGGGGAACTTGGTCACCTTTTTTTTATTTTAAAAGCAACACTGTTTGTCACTCACAGTAATAATTAATTCCACTAAAAATACTTAATTCCAAGGAACATTAGAGTTGAACTATATTGTGGGAGTGGGTGCAAATATGACTTACTGCCTCCCATTAATATAACTGGTTACTTAATTAGGTTTTTCTGCACTATAGGTGTAGCCTTTCTATTCACCTTGCTCAGTGTTTCAGATGATCTTGTTCTGTCTAAACAAAACTGTAGAGCTGCACTATCTTATTTAGTACTAAATCTTGAGGCAAGAGACTCTCACCACTGACTATGACTAGAGTGAAATTTAAAGTAAAATAGCAGCTATGAATGAAGACACAATATGGGCAAAGCCTTCTATATATACCCAACACTAAAACCCTCTTTAATAATCTGATTTTCCTTCCCCTGCTACTGACCAATCTCCCTTCAATACAGTGAGAGAAGTAAACTTGAATCTCCTGGTGCCTAAAATATCCACGGTCCAATTTCGTAGGAATTTTTACAATTAAAATGCTAAGAATATCTTGAATGTTAGAAACTGGGTTGATACTAATGGGCGCTAACAAATCCCAGTTCTATTGGGCATCTTCTGCATATTTTTCATTTAGTATATAGCCTGTAAATAATAAACTATATAACTAGATATATTTCCTGCTCACTTGATGCTTTTGAGACTTATTCCATTCCATCATTAGAATCACAAGTCACTTAAACACAGGAAAGTAGACTACTGTTTTTGTGAAACGTTCCATTGTGAAATAAAATGAAAGCAATATGTACTGCCTTTTTTGCAGTTTGCTATTAAAGCACAGTGTCTTACAGCACAAAATACAAATAAACTAAAATCATTTTTAAATGATTTGCAGTTTTAACAGTTGTCTGGACTTGGGGAAAAAAATGTATAGTACTGTACTATTGTTAGCACTTGTCCTGATTTCTGATTTAATCTTCTTCATAGCTCTACTCATTTTGTGCCTTTCCCTTCCTTTTCAAAATAATTACTGGCTGAAGCGTTTTCTGGTCATGGTTTTTATTTTGTCTGCAAAAGCACTAAGCTTACACCTCTTTGCACTATTGTCAATTAAGAAAAAGGTAATTGTTGCAGTAAGTTTAATGTGCTACATTAAAAAAAAGGGGGATATGAAAGAGAAAATGAAAATACTGAATATGAAATACTGGATATGAAAATACTGAATGGAGGTGGAGTTCATGAGAACGTGATGTAGCTTGAAAACCTACTTTTAACAGCTTTTTGTATCATGTTTAATGAGAAGAAAATCGTTGATGCAGTCAGCGTATGAGCTGCAGCCGGTATTTCAGGGTCACAGCTTGTGCTTGCACTGAAGTTCCCCCGACTGCCTTCTGAGGGGCTGCAG